GTTATGTATTTCTACTTTGATACTGTTGTGGTAAAAAACACTATATATGATTAAAACTCTTTCCAACATGTTGAGGTTTTTGTGACCCAAAATATGATTTTCTACATGGCCTATGTGCATTTGAAAAGAAAGTACTTTGGTATTACTGAATGGACTGTTCTACACATGTCAATTAGATCAAGGTAATTCATAGTTTTGATCAGGTCTCTATTTTCTAACTATTGTGAGAAATGTTGTACTTATCAATTCTATTTGTTAACTTTATTATTTCTGTATCTGTTATTGCTTTCTCTATTCTGGAGCTCTGTTGTTTGATGCATAAAATTTAAAACTGTTATATATTCTTAGTTGTTTTGTAATGCAACCTCTTTCTGGCCTCCACAGTTTCTGATGACAAATCTGTCATTTGCATTTTTTCCCTACAAGTAATGTATTTGACCCCCTCTGGCCACTTTCACAATTATCTTTTGTTTTCAAAGCTTTCATTATTAATGTGCCTCAGACAGATTTCTTTGGGATTCTAGGGTTTAGGGTTCAGTAAACTTTGTGAATCCATACATTTATGTACTTTCAAACATTGGAGGAATCTTTGGTCATTATTTTGTCAAACACATTTTGGACTTACCGCTTTTTCTTCCCCCCTTTTACAACCCCAATGACAACAATGTGGACTTTTTTTTTTTATGGTCTCTAACACCATTGAGGCTTTCTTCATTTTTTTCGTTTGCTCTCTGTTGCTCAATCTGAATAATTTCAATTGCTTTAAGTTCACTAGTAAGTCTTCTCTGCCATCTCCATTCCATTTAGTTACCTATTATATTTTTCAGTTGTGAAATTAAACACTTGTTTTTTCATATCCTCTTTCCTGAGACTTTCTGGTTATTTTGTTTCAAGTGTTTGTAATTGCTTGTTAAATCATTCCCATAAGGACTGCTTTAAAATTCTCATCAGGGGGGCGCCTGGGTGGCTCAGTCGTTAAGCGTCTGCCTTTGGCTCAGGTCGATTCCAGGGTCCTGGGATCAAGCTCCGCATCAGGCTCCCTGCTCGGCGGGAAGCCTTTCTCCTTCTCCTGCTCCCCCTGCTTGTGTTCTCTCTCTCTCGCTGTGTCTCTCTCTGTCAAATAAACAAGATCTTTAAAAAAATAAAATAATAAAATTCTCATCAGGTAATTCCAACATCTGTGTCATCCTAGTTTATTTAATAATGGGTGATTTTTTAATCCTATACTAGACATTCTGGGTATGCGAGACTCTGCAATTAATTTGAATCTTCTCTTTTAACAGACCTCCTTTGAGACAACTCTGGTAAGGGAGGGAGTTTCTACCATCTAAGTACCAGGTAGGGGTGAAAGTACAGATTCTCCCCTTGGCATTCTTTAAACTGAGTGAGGAAAGGCTCATTGCTGCTGGCCATATGTAGGTATGAGAGAACAGCATTTTTTTTTTAATTTTTTAAATTATATCAAAATCTTGTTTTGTTTTTTTAAAGATTTTATTTATTTATTTATTTATTTGCTAGAGAGAGTGAGAGCACAAGCACAGGGAGCGGCAGGCAGAGGGAGAAGCCGGCTCCCCACTGAGCAAGGAGCCCGATGTGGGACCCGATCCCAGGACCCTGGGATCATGACCTGAGCCGAAGGCAGCCGCTTAACCAACTGAGCCACCCAGGCATCCCGAGAACAGCATATTTTATTAATGCTCCTCACCATATGTCCTCCCCAGGTACCAAGATGGATGGATCTTAATGAGAGCTGGATGGTCAAAGTACCAGCTTACCACATGCATCTGAAAACCAACAGGGAGAGGGAAGGGCTCTTCATTTTGCTGGATGTGAATATAAATCCAAGATGTCTGCAAGGCCTCTACTTATGCTGTGATGGGATTACTGTTAACACTGTGAAGTAGACTTTGCTGTGCAGTGGATTTTCTCCGATACCATCCTGACACTCGTTGAGGGGGCGATGAGAAGCTCATTATAGCTTGGCAGTGCTGAAGTCTATGATCTCCACTCAGCCTTTGCTGATGGCAGTGTGGATTGAGTGATTTTTATCCTGAAGTTTGAATGGAGTAGGGCAATATTATCTAAAAGTTATTGGATAGGTTGTCACTGTCTAGAGAGAACCCTTTCCCTAGGGCTTTGTTCTGTTTTGATTTTGGTCTCTGCCTGGAGACCTATTTGCCAAATTCTCCAACACTTAACCTGAGATATATTAGGAAAAAGAAAAAAAAAAAAAAAAAACCCGGCAACTCAGCACCTAGTTTTCCCTTGGGTCCCATTTGTCTCTTGCTGATGTCCACTCATTTCTTCTTCTTCCTATTTACTTATATTTGTTATAATTAGGCTCCATACCCAATGTGGGGCTTGAACTCATGACCCTGAGATTATGAGTTGTGTGCTCTACTGGCTCTATCTGGCTCTATCTGGCTGGCACCCCTCCATTCATTTCTTTTTCAGTCTTCTTATATGTCTTTTATATATAATGTCCAGGGTTTTTTTTTTTTTGGCAAATATGATAATGCATTTATTCCACTAATCTCGAGCCAAAAATTATAGACCATGTAGAATGAATGGATTTGGTTGCTATACGTCCATTCTTTTATTATTTATCTCTCCACTTTCTAAAACTCCATTTTTATTCTTTCTTCTATTCCTTTGGATTATTTGAATATCTTGTAGTATTCTACTTTAATAAATTTTTTAGTATGTCTTCATATTTTTGAGGTTTCTCTAAGGATTACAATACACACACCTGATATTTTCCTGTCTACTAAACATTAATATATTACTACTTAAAATAAAACCTACAAATCTTAGAACCACATATGTCCCATTACTATCTGTGTCATAAGCTGTTAACTGTGATTTTGTCATACATGCAAGCTAAAAGCTTGTTACAGTTTTATGAATTCTGGCAGAAGAGCTAAGAATCATGCATCAGTGACAGAAGATTTTATTACTCATGACACAGTAAGAAGCATGAGCATCTTCACATTAATTTCAAGAGGAGTCTACACTGGTTCTTCAAGCCTCCCAACACATTCCAAGAGGGCAATGAGAAGTGGTCTAGGTGGATTATGCACAGGTAATAGTTTTGCATCAGGTGAGGAATCCCAAGTTTAGGAAACCTGAATATTTTGGCTTCTCCATATACTGACTTTTCCAGTAGGCCCAAGGGATTAATCCAGGTACCACAGGATGTATTAGTGATTGCAGAGGCTTCTGCTTTTGTCTGCAAGTTGGGACCCTAGGTCAATTCTATAGTCCAAAACAATCCTGGCCAATGAGTTGAAACTGACCTGACTGCCTTACAGGGACTAGATGAAGGAATCTTAGTGACTTAAGCACCCCATTGATTCAGCTTTCCTTGATTCTTTGTTTCAGGTGGGGGAGCAGGAAATAAAGTTTCCCAGAGAGGGATAGCTGCAACATTTTTAAGCAATGAGATAACCCTAGGGCCAGGTTTTCTGCATTCTTAAAAACACTAATGTCATCTGACAAACAAGGTTTGTTGGACTCTTCTCCCAAAATGGGTAATCTGTATGTTTTAAGAGGTTTTGGACATTCCAACCTCTGTCCCAGAAAGAAACATTATTAATTGGAAATTTTAAAAACAAAACTAAAAAACCTGCTCTCTGCTAAAGTTACCTACATAGGTGTTTTACCTATGTGATAATTTTCACGTATTTTACATATAAATATATTGAAATCCCCCCTCAGACATTATAATTTTGTTTCCAAGAGTCATGCACACATAAAAGGAATTAGTAGAAAAGGTTATCCTATTTGTCCAGACATTTACTACTACTGTTGCTCAAACTTTATCCCTGAAGTAACAAGTTTCTCTGTGGTATCATTACCTGAAGAATATTTTTTTTTTAAGATTTTATTTTCTGCGAGAGAGCAAGCGAGTGCAAAGTGGGGGCGGGAGGGGCAGAGGGAGAAGCAGACTCTCCACTGAGCAGGGAGCCTGATGTGGGACTCGATCCCAGGACCCTGAGATCATGACCTGAGCCAAGCCAACGCTTAACCAACTGAGCCACCCAGGTGCCCCTATCATTTCTTTTAGAGCATTTCCATGATGAAAAAAATCTCTAGTTTTTCCTTCATCTGAGGGTAACTTTATCTTGAATTCATTTTAAAGGATATTTTTGCTTGTTATGGAATTCGGGATTTATTCTTTACCTTCAGCACCTTAAAGATGTCTTGTCTTCTGGACTCTATAGTATCTGACAAGAAATACAATCATTCAAAATTAGTTATCCTATATGTAATACAGTGATTTTTGGTAGGAACTTTCAAGATTTTTTCATCATTCACTTTCATCAGTTTGATTACATTGTGTATTGGTATACATTTAGGTTTATTCTCTTCAAGGTCACAAGTCTTCTCAAACATGTACATTTGTCTTTCACTGAATTTTAGAAATTCTTTCCTCAAATTTTTTTTCTGTGCCTATCTCTTTCTCCTATCTTTTTGGGACTCCAACCACACAAATGTTGAACCTTTTGAAATTGTCACATAGATTCTTGAAGCCCTAATTTTTTTTCAAAATGTTTTTCAAATTTGATAGTTTCTAATTTTCAGGTTCGCTGATCATCTGTCACCTTAAATCTGCTATTGAACTCATTCATTTTTTACAAGAAATCTTAGACATTTTATTTTTCAGCTTAATAAATTCCACCTGGTTCTTTTAAAGTTTTATTTTCTGAGAACTTCTATTTTTTAATTCATCTTGAAAGTATTGACATATCATGGAATATAGTAATAACGGCTGCTTTAAAATCTCTAGGATAGGGATGCCTGGGTGGCTCAGTCGGTGAAGCGTCTGCCTTCGGCTCAGGTCATGATCCCAGGGTCCTGGGATCGAGCCCCGCGTTGGGCTCCCTGCTCAGCGAGGGGCCTGCTTCTCCCTCTCCCACTCCCCCTGCTTGTGTTCCCTCTCTCGCTGTCAAATAAAATCTTAAAAAAATAAATAAATAAAAATAAAATCTCTATGATAATTCCAAAATCTCTAATATCCTGTGTCTGGCACCTATTCATTGTCACATATTTCCCCTAGTTCTTTGTATTTTTGGATTGTTGGGCATTTTGCACATTATGTTGTAAGAATCTGATCTCTTTAAAAATCTCCTGGACAATGTATGTGTGAATGCCCTTTTAAAAAGGCAATCAATTCAGTTAGGTTCAGACCACAACTTCGATCTCCCCTTTTATGAGAATTGTTTCCAATATCTAGTTTTCAGTCTTTACCATGATGATTTGGGTCTACCTCACATATGATTCTCTGAGTTCAGTCTGTAACATGGATGGGGCTTCATATTATAAATTCCAAAAGCTATTTCTATGTTTTATTTTGGACTATCTCATACATGTTCACATTGAAGATGAGCTCAAGAAACTGCTTCAGTTCATATACAAAATAAGGAGATCCCCTTCTTCAGCTCTCTCATCTCTAAAATTACTCCAGCTCCAAAGGGCTTCTTTTTCTCACTCCAAAGTAGACTAGATGCATGCCTTGTCTGGATATTAAGCCACATTTGTTGCCATGAGATCTGCACAAATGGAGTCACCCTTGGGAAGAGCAAAAAATGGAGAATTAACAGAATTAACAGAATTCTATGCACTCTTCTATTCGCAAGGGTCCCCTTTTGCACGTTGCTCTAATAAAGATGGCTTTTCCTCCTGCAGACTTCAGTGCCTCTGCCATCACCATCATGCAATTCCAGAACTGTAGCTGTCTTTAGGGAAAATCCAGGAGGAAGGACGCCAGAAGGAAGGGAGAGAGATGGGGATGGAGAATAAATATGAATAAAAGTATTTCCTATATACTTCAGCTTACAAGTACCCAATAGCCAGTGAGCTGGCCAGAAAGATAAGGGCTCTCTAAGATTTTCTGTCTATGCTCATTTACAGTTCTGTACTAGTGATGCCCTCAGACCAAAGCCAGAAGTAATTTATACATTTTTCCTAGGTTATACAATTTGTTGGCATATAATTGTTCATAGTAGCCACTTAGGATCCTTGTACTTTTGTGGTATCAGTTGTAATGTCTCTTTAATTTACTGAGTCCTCTCCTCTCTTTTTCTTGGTTAGAATATCCAGTTTGCCAATTCGTTCTTTTAAAAAAGCTCTTGGTTTCATTATCTTTGCAGTCTCTATTTTATTTATATCTGCTCTTTATTATGTCCTTCCTTCTTTGAACTCAGTCTTAGTTTGTTCTTTGTCTAATTTCTTAAGGTATAGAGTTAGGTTGAGATCTCTTTTTTATTAATGTAGGAATTTATTGTTATAATTGTCTCCCTTGGAGCTGCATCCTATAATTTTTGGCATGTTGTTTTTGTTTTCATTTGTCTCAAAATATTATTTCCTTTGGATGTTTAGGCTAATATTTTTCATAAAACATTGTAGTTTTCAGGTATCACTTCTACAAATGTCATTTTCTAGGTTTCCCCCTCTATTTCTAACACTGGCATAACATACATGTTAGTATGCACAATGGCATCCCACATTTCTATGAAACTTTCCTTTTTCCTGTATTCTTTAAATTGTATGTCTGTCAATCTGTATTCAAGCCCACTGATTGTTTATTCTGACAATTCATATTACTGTTGAAACACTCCAGTGATTTTTGTTTTCTATTTGTCTATACTTTTCAACTCCAGATTGTCCCTACGGCTCTTTCTACAATTCCTACTTATTGATACCATTTGATGAAACACTATCTTCATACCTGTACCTTTTAAAGCATGGTTTCCTCTAGTTCTTTGAACATATCTTTAACAGCTGATTTAAAATATTTATCTGCTAAATCTGATATGTAGGCCTTTAAATGTGGGTTCTGCTGCCAACCTCTTTTGCTTTATGGTGACATTTTCTTCTTTCTTTGCAGGTCTTGAGATTTTTCAGCTCAAAAGTACGCATTATAAATGATATATAGTAGCAATACTGGCTAGTTAACCACAAGATGAATCCAGGGCTGGTAGTTACTGTTCAAATTTTTAATATGTTAAGTGACTGACTGGACTTTTAGTGGTCTCTTTCTCCCATGATATGATAGGAGCCTATGATACTGCTCCTCAGAGGGCACAGCCCCAGAAATGTCGTTATCCTAGGATGGCAGTGCACAATTTCTATTCTTGTACATACTGAGCTGCTAACCTACACTAATTGTAAGTTAATTTTCCTATCACTTATAACAATGCTCTGGGGGCATATCTTACTGTATATTCTAATCCAATTAAACTCGGGCCATTTGCAGGGGCAGTTTATGATGCCAATCTTTGTTCTGACAACAGGAATGCTATTCTTAACTCTTTACCTGGTTCTCTGTGGCAAATTAGCCTAGCCTAGGGACAATCTGGAGTTTAGCAAGTTGCTCTCATTAAACTACCAGCTAATTACTTAACACCAAATTATCATTTTTTAAGACTGCCCATAGGCTTGAACATCCCCCTGCTCTTTTAAATAAAATTTCATCAGGGAGGGCTTCAGAACTCTGTTCTCATGTTCTGCCTGTTCTACTCAGCAACATTTATCATCCAGATGCACTGAGCTGTGCGTGGCGGGGGGGTGGGCGAAGTGACTACCTTGGCTTAAAGTAACAGCCCAAATTTATAGGGATTAGCCTGTTCTCAACTTGCCTCACCTGGTATGGTGTATCAATGGTCCAAACAACCTGGGGTGAGGATAAGAGTATTCTGAGCATATCAGGCCTGAGGAAGAGCTTCTGCTCTATGTGTCTGGGTTGGGAGAACAGAAGTCCTCTTCCTATCAGCTACAATTGCCTGGAAGTGAGGATCTACAAAACTGAGCTGTGGGGATATGGAATTTTAGCATCACTCCATTCTGGACAATAGACCTCAACTGTTAGCTAAAAGAGAGGGATCCCTGTATTCCTCACTGCAAATGCTTGGAGTGGTCCCACTGTCTTGCTGAATTGAGATGGGAGAACTGAGTGGTGGTTCAAATGCCAGAGAGTCTTGTTTTTATTCTGTTTTAGTACAATTCTCAAAAGTTTTTCATTTGCTGTATGCCATTAGAATTTCAAGAGGTGTTAAACTGTTGTAAATTTTGCTCATCTCACCAGTTATATTTGTTTCCCTGGAGAGTAGATTAAAAAATCCTTACACTGTCATTTAAAAAATGGAAACACCTCAATTTCACAAGTTTTTATTCTTATCATTGTCAATTCTTTGATACTTTATTCTTTCAAAGCTATTATCTTTATCCAAGGAATTAATCAAATTGGCATTTTAAGTTTAAGGGGGGGGGCATTAGATAGGTGTTTTAGATTCCCAAACTAGAAATGAATTCCTTCTTTGGTAAAGCAAACTTGTCTTTCGAACTTCTTTTTCTTTTTTTTTTTTTTTAAAGGACTACATTACTTTCGTTTATTTTAATGTAAGTTCTATGCCCAACTTGGGGCTCAAATTCACAATCCCAAGACCAAGAGGTGCACTAAGGTGTCTCAATAAGTAAAGGACAGAGCTTGCTTTTCCCCCCAACTTTTTAAATCTTTCATATTTCACTCTTAAAGCTACTGTTGTACAACAACATTTATGTATCACAGTACTTACTTATTGCAGCATACCCTACAATGCTTCCTTTTCCTAATTATTGAATTCCATCATATGGTCAAATTTTACCATTTTTCCTATTCCTTAAAATTAACTTGCACTTGGGGCGCCTGGGTGGCTCAGTCGTTAAGTGTCTGCCTTCGGCTCAGGTCGTGATCCCAGGGTCCTGGGATCGAGCCCCACATCAGGCTCCCTGCTCCGCGGGAAGCCTGCTTCTCCCTCTCCCACTTCCCCTGCTTGTATTCCCTCTCTCGCCGCGTCTCTCTCTGTCAAATAAATAAAATCTTAAAAAAAAAAAAATTAACTTGCACTTGCTAATAAATTTCTTCCCTTATTAACAAAGACAGTAGATCTAACCAAATTTCTAGATTACTTTAAGAATCTCACCACAGTGGGAAGAAAATAACCTAAGCAATCCAGATACTACGGAATTTCTAATAATTATATAAGCAATAGATAGAGAAGACTGCACATATATCAAATGAAGTGAATATGGACCAAATATAATGCTATGCTAATGTTTTTCTTGCACGGTAATGAGTAATGACTGGTGAGTGGTTTGCAAGACTCACTGTAATTTACGTTACTTTTACAATTTGTACTGTTTTTCAATTTTCTTGTACTAATACTAGTGCCCACACTCAGTATCTATTGTACACTTTCACATTCATACAAAACACAGAACATCTGTCACATTATCACATTTGATTCACATTTAAATCATTAGAGTTCATCCATGTATGGATGAACACATGAAACAATGATTTAGGAGAAAAGAATAGGTATGTAAATGGTTAAAGAGCTTTTGCCTATCAGATAGTGCAACCAACTTAATCAAAAAATAAGGAAAATGGTAACCATAATAAACTTTAAGTGCCCCACAGGTGTTCATCAAAAAAGAAATAATAATTCCACTTTTGGAAATGATTGGAGAATATATAGTATACTCTGGAGAGGATCTTCAGTAATTGGTATTTTAATGTAGTTTTAAAATTACAAAATCTTATACACAGAAGACAGTATAAATTATATGTATATTTAAAGACTAATTTGATGAGCTTAATGAAGAAAATATTTCTAGTATCACTAAAGTGGCATGTATTCTACTTTAATTATATTTTCAACCAGAGGAACCACTTTCCTGAATTTTGTTAATACATTCGGCTTCTTTGCTGAAAAGAATGTGAGATACATGCATAATGTATAGTTACAGTTCATTATTTTTCATTGCCATAATCCACTAAAACAAAACACCACAAAAATTAATATATCTATTCTGGTGATAGACATTTGCATGTTTTCCAGTTTAGAGCTATTATGAATAGTGATGATATAGACATTAACACGTCTTTAGGTGAACATATACGTATCTTTGTGGTCATATACATGTAAGTTAAATTTTGGAATCACAGGTTATGTGCATGTTCATTAAAAGGTCTTCTAACATGACTTTCACCAATCATACTCCCACCATTACTCTATGAAAGATAATTGTTAGCAAAATACTCACCAATATTTGGCATCCTCAATCCATTTCATTTTAGCCTTTCTAGAGGGTATTAGTACTGCTTATAGTTTTTGTTATTTCTCTGTTGCCAAATGAACCTGAGGCCCTACAGCTGTGTTTTATGTGGAAAATGCTCAAGTCTTCAGCAATCTCCTATGGGATCGACTGCCAATTTCATATTGATCCCAAGAGTTTAGAAATTCAGAAAACTCAGCATTTTGCAAAAAGTTAAGATATACCTATTATAGTCTTTAGATAATCTCATAAAATTTTAATTAGTTGTAATAAATATATTGCAAATTACCTTAAATAGACCCAGACCAAGGATTAGTAAACTACACCATGCAAGCCAAATCTGGCTCTCCACCTATTTTATTTTTTAGGTAACTAATTCCTTTAATTTTTTAATGAGGTTAACACCCACATACACAAAATTCACCATTTTATTAAAAAATTTTTTACTTAAAAATTTTTTAGTTGACACACAA